GGGGGGGTCCCTTGGCCTGGCCACTGATTGGAGCTATCTTGCCCAGTCCTGATTGAGGCCGGCTGGCCAGGGGGAGGAACCATGGGAGGTTGGCCGGCCATAGGAGGTTGGCTGTGGGAGTGCACTGAGCACCAGGGGGCAGCTTCTGCATTGAGCATCTGCCCCCTGGTTGTCAGTGCACATCATAGCAACCAGTCGACTGTTCGTTCGGTCATTCAGTCACTTAGGCTTTTATATATATAGATATATAGATAGCTAATCAGAGTTTCAATGTTTTTAAATCGAGTTTTCACTGATGAAATGATTGGAGGGTATTTTTTTTTATTTTTCTCTTGTGTTTAATTATTTCTCTAATGTAAAATATTTTACTTTCAGACAGAGAAAGGACTATCAAAAGTATGGCAAGAAAGTAAGCAGACTTCTGGTGATCAGTGGCAAAAGGCTGTCATCCTGCTAGGAAAATTAAGAAATTTTGAAGTTATGTTCCAAGGTATCAGAACAAGGGATCTAGGAGGAGGAGCTGCAATTGATGACATTGAATTTAAAAACTGCACGACTGGTAAGTTTCTGAAAAGCATTTCCATTTGGAAACACACTTATAATCTAGCCTTTTTGTCTTTGTTTCATATTTATAAAGTGTTCTGCTGCTATATATTCTGTACATAAATAAAAATAAATTTATAATTTGATTTCATAATTATTGAACCTATACTTACATGTTAAGCAATAGTATTTTTTTACTTATCAATTGCTCAAGTAATGTCTTCATTCCATACATCCCCTTTCTAACATGCAGAAGTGTTCTCCTTTGAATTACTTATTTTCAACATAATTTAAAGTGTAGGCCTAATATTTATATACATTTATCTGCTTTAAATAATTTAAGATGAATCTTCTTGACTAGAAAGCTAGTAGTTGGTGAACATATGAGAAATAAGTTCAATAGGTATAATTCAAGCAGAACTTGAGTTGAAGTCTATGCTTAGGGGATTTAAGAAGCCACTCTAGCCAGTGAACAACAGCTTGCAAAACTTTGCTATTTATCATGTTTCTAAATGTGAAGTCTAACTATACTTAGATTTTTCTTACAAAAATACCTAGAAAATGTAAAAAGTAATTATAAATACATTTGTATATTTTCACCATTGGCATAGTTCTTTCTGAGGAACCATTCCATCTTCTTTCCAAAGTAGTGCTGTGTGATATATACTGCTAATGAGAGATATGCCTTCTGTGATTTTCTACATCAAGTCACTTAGAGGTAAGCCCCAGGGACTGAGAGCTAAACTTGAATGCTATTTAATTATATTGTTGCTCTCATATTAAAATATGACTTCACTGAAGCAGTTAAAAAACATGACTTTAGTTTTTGGTGATGTAGCATCTGCTCTTTTCATGACCAGGGCTGCTTCAAAGAATTCTGCTTAGAAGTCAGTTCTGCAGTTTGATTTCCCCCATTATGTTTCTTGGAACACGTTACAGAAAGTCAGAATCCATGCCCAGATGATCTGGAGCACAGAGCTCCGGGTATCTGTGTCACACAGGAGGCAGGGTCTGGCTTAGGGGAGTTTGGGAGAGGCTGCCGGACGACAGAAAGGAGGGTTCTGAACTATAATCATGCAAAGGTATCTTAGAGGTCACAATGTGCTGCTTCAGCTTTTTTCTACTAACTTTCCTAGAAACATGGTAAATTTCTATTATAGTTGTTAATCACTCAACCTATATTTGCTTCTAGCAACTTAAACATTTTTTTCAAAGCGTTTTTGAATATTTTAGAAAAAAAGAAGAAGCTTTATTAAACAATAAAGATTCCGTTCTTCTCAAGGGAAGCAGAATGATTCATAAATGGTTTGATTCAGGACAGAAGAAAATGGAAAATTATTCCAGCTTTGCCAGGTTTCATTTAGAAGTTTACACTGTTTCCTCCCCTATTTATCTTGAAGTCCTGTGAAAATTTACATGATTATAGTTAATTTTGTTCAGTTCAATAATGCTTAGTTTACTGAGTAATTCTTTAATATATTTAGTGATAAACTATTATAGTTCTTTCTGTGTCATAAATGATAAAGACAAATTGTGGTCACTTGTAGGTGAAGTAATCAATTGTAAATTAAATATATTTTAGGAAAAATTAATTGTTTTTAATAGACCAGCTTGATACAAATAATGAGGATTTTCAAATTATATATGAATCAAGATAGAAAGCAAAAAAAAAAAGCATTATGAAAAAGTTTGAAAAACTAAGCATGGAACTGAAAAGCAATGATCCATTAGTTTGTTTGTTTTAAATAATTAATCATCACACATATGATTATTTATTTTTAAAATTTAATATTATTTTTTCATCACCATTGATCCTAGGTCCACTCCATATGCCAATAAACTGTCAGTGCTGTGAAGTATGGCTAAGGAGAAACAGTTTAGAATATGTTACCCTAAGTTATGTTTTACTATTGCAATTTAGAAGAGAATGATAGTTGACAAAACACCCCAAAATCAGAGAAGCACTACAGAATGGTGATTAAGAACAAGGAGTCTTGAGTCAAACTCTCTGGGTGTGGAATCTGGCTCTTCCACTCTCTATCTTGGGTGTGTTATTTTGTGTGTGGTTTTTTTTTCACTTTGCCATAGTTTTGTTATCAATAAAATGCGGATAGTAGTAATGATACTTCCATCATAGATTGCTGTGAATATGAAATCTGATAATATAAATGAATCACTTAGAATAGTCTTGGCACATAGTAAAATTTATATCCCTTACTGAGGTCTAGTGCACGGGTGGGGTCTGGCCAGCCTGCCCCTATCGGGGCCAGTCGAACTGGGCGGGCAGAGGGGAGGCAATGCAGGAGGTTGGCTGGCTGGCCCCAACCCCAATCAGGGTGGGGGGGCAGGATCAAGGATGGAGCCAGCCGGGGGGAGGGGCCACAGGCAGTTGGTGGTCTGGCTCCAGCCCTGATTGGGGTGGGGGAGCTGATCAGGGGTGGGGCCATCTTGAGGGAGGGGCCAGGGGCGGTTGGCCAGCTGGCCCTGCCCCCTGGTCATACTCCCGGTTGAACTCCTGGTTGAGGGGACAATTTACATATTAGCCTTTTATTGTATAGGATTGCTGTAATAATCATCATTATTATTTACTTTGCCATGTTTTCAAATAGTGCTCTATTCCCTGTATTAGCAAATCAACTTAAATCATATGCACATAATTTGTCATGAAAATCTCTCATGTAATTGTTGCTGTTTCCCATTTGAAATGAAAGTTAAAATGACGATGTTCATTTCTCTGTCACATCCTGCGAATCACAAAAGACTGCATATTACATGATAACATTTATATGGAATGTACAGACTAGCAGATGTGTAGAGATAGAAAGTAAATTAGTGGTTACTTAGGGCTGAAAAAATATGGATTTGGGGAATGACTGTTATTGAGTATGGGTTTCTTTATGGGGTGAGAAAAATGTTCTATTTTTTTTTTATGGTGATTGATACACAACTTCATAAATATACTAAAACCATTACATTTTAAATTTCATATGGATTAGCTTAGTGGAATGTAAATTGTAAATTATAAATCAATAAAGCTGTTAAAAATAAATAAAGAAATGAGGGAGAATTCTGGAGAGATGGAAGTGGTGGTGTCAGAATAGCTTTTGGATTTTTAAAAGTCCTCATATCAAAACAGTCAGAGTACCTAGTAAGCAAAGTCAATAAGCATTGAAACCTACAAAACCTACAAGCTAATGGAGACAAACTGGCAATAGCCTCAAGACCTATGTGGTATTTATGTCTACAAAAGAGAAGACAGGAGAATCACAATAGAGCTGACAGGCAGAGATTCACTAGAAAATCAGTCAGACAGTCTGAAAATGGCAGCTAAAATTGGGAGGGATTTTACCCACTTTGAGAATGAGTGGGCCCAAGTGGTCTATGGGAGTTGGTGGGACTGGAGCAGTCCAGCTGCTGTGCACTCGCAAAAATGGATCCACCAAGATTCCTCTCCAATACAGCAGCCCGTGTTCAAAACCAATACAAAAAAATGAAAAACCAAATCAAGCACCACTGGGAGTGGATTCAAAATTGAGTAGACCAGGGACAGATGAAGGAAAGAGAAGACCACATCAAAGTGGTGGAGGAGAAATGAGCCAGGAAATCTCAAATGCAAGTCTTCATATTTGTATAGATTTATTTAAGTTCTATAGACTTTGATACTCATCACCTAACATTGCTCATACCATTGTAGAGCCTCAGTTTCCTTGTTTCCAAAATGACAGAATCATAATAGATGATCTCTGAGATTTTCATAGAATTGACAACTCTAGAATCCAGCATATTTTTCATACTGAAAATATATCATTTTACACAATGAGAATTCAATGTATTTTTTAGTTTTTAAATAAATTTATTGGGGTGACATCCTATATAATAAAACCCTAATATGCAAATCAACCAAATGCAGAAAGACAAGCGGAATAACTGATTGCTATGATGCACACTGACCACCAGGGGGCAGACACTCAACTCAGGAGCTGCCCCCAGTTGAGCGTCTGCCCCCTGAGAGGGAGGCGACCTGTGGTGGTGATTGGGGGATGGAGCCAGCCAGCAGGCAGCGCCAAGCCATCAGCCAAGGCGGGTGCCAGCAGGGACCCCCAACCATCACCCCACAGATGGCCCTGATCGCCGGCCAGGCCTAGGGCCCCTACCCTATATATTGGGAACAGTCTCTTAGATTTAAAAATTAAAACCTGGCAAGACTACTCTAATACTGAAAAAACAGGATGATGCAGCGATGACTTGCATGGACTCTGGCTTGCACATTTTGTGGTCAGCCCTGATTCTGACACTTATAACTGTGTGACAAAGCCAATTACTTAACTTCTCTCTGCTTCAGTTTTTCCACCCATAAGATGGGGAGAATAGTATGACTACCTCAGAAGGATCATGTTATGTACTACTTTTTGCAATCAGGGCAAAAAAATGTAGCTGCCCATACAACAGCAAAATGCCTTTCACCTGTATGAAAAGTATGGTCACTGGTGCATGCAGCGTCCCAGATTGTGAGAGGGATGTCCAACTGCTGTTTAGGCCCAACATCTCCCCAGGGGTTCCAGATTGTGAGAGGGCGCAGGCCAGGCTGAAGGACCCCACCCCACCCCCTGTGCATGAATTTTGTGCACCATGCCTCTAGTTGGTTAATAAAGTTATATAGGTTTCGAGTGCACAATTCTATGATACATGATCTGTATATTCACGATGTGTTTACCACCCAAAGCCAAATCTTATTGTCACTCTTAATTTGGCCCCCATTAACCTTTACAACCCTCCCTTCCCTCCGATAACCATCATATTGTTGTCTGTGTCTATGAATTTTTGCTTGTTTACTTTTCTTGTTTGCTCATTTGTTGCTTTCAATTTTAAATTCCATATATGAGTGAAAGTGTATACATGCTTCTTGACTTTTTCTGCCTGACTTATTCCATAAGAGCAAAGTTTAAAATTGATTAAGAATAAAAGTGGAAGAAGGAAAAGGATATATATAAAATATATATTTGGTAGTTATCTACT